AAAATTGCAACAAATTGGAGATGTTACCGGACATGCGCAATCTCAACTGTCTTTAGGAATTGAATATTGGAGGAATCAAGAATTGTAAGCCGCTGTCGGAGCTGTTGCACAGGCTCACCTCTCTTACAAAATTGTCCATCAGTGGTGTAGACCCAAGTGTGGTTTCATTTCCACCCGACAGTTACAGGGAGATGGATATGGAGATGCTGCTCCCCAAAACTCTCACTCGTCTCTCAATTGGGGGCTTCCCAAATCTGAAGAAACTGAGGAGCAAGGGCTTTCAATTCCTCACCTCTCTTCGATCTCTTCAACTCCAGAATTGTCCAAAGCTGGCACATATTCCAGCGGAGGGGTTGCCTATTTCACTGAGGCAACTTTATATCAGTCGGTGTCCTCTGCTAAAAGATAAATGCCAGCCTGGTAGTAAAGGACGAAACCTGCCCAAAATATCCCACATCCCCTGCATAGAAATAATGGATTAGAAGACGGTTTGAAGATGATGAGAACCCACACCCACACATGGGAGGACATGGACATGGTCAACTCCGACTCTCACTGTCCCCAGGTACTTCAAATTTCAAACATTATCAACACTTTCCCTGTACTCTTTATGGTGAGACTCCTTTTCTGTCATATTATTGCGAGTAGTTTACCTTAGTTTCATTTCAAAAAAATAAGTAATTTACTGATTTTCTGGTTCTGGCTCTTTCTTTGTGCTATTGTACCCTCTTGACTTCTTCAATCTTCATGACCCAGTCCTCGTATGATGTCTGGTCCAGTGTGAGAGGGTTGAAAGAAGGGACTGCCTCTCTTGCTTTCGGAGCTGCAGGGTGAAGAGCTGTGAAAGGACTGGATAGCAACAAGGTCATTTCATATCGTGGTAACATCAACTGAAGATGGTAAATCACTAACTTTCTGTTGCAAGTTTCAGATGTTTAATATTTTGCCATTTGGTTTGCCTTATAATATTTTGTCATCTCTGTACTGAGAAAACTTTTACCCATATTTTTCTTTCTTTTGTTTGCTTGGCTACAATCTTTAGAGGACTTGTAACCAAATGTTGGGACAACTTCAGTTTTTAAAGGACATCATGTAACCAAATGTTGTTCTTTGTTCTTTTGAACAGAAATATCGACTCAACCTGCCAGATACTTATGACAAATTCTTGATATTTGCACTGAGATATTATATTTGCAACTAAGCTTCATCTTTACTTTAATGATTTACCAAATTATCTTTTGAATCATGCTGAAAAATACAGATGCTATATACAGATTACCGTGTTTTTTTTAAAGAATGTGCTTCTGCATTGGCAGGAACGCTTCCAATATCCAGATGCTATATACAGATTACGGAAGTGGATGTTGTGTTGTGCCAGAATAGTCTTCAAACTCCCATCCCTTCAAGCTTCTCAAGAAACCGCAGCAGGGGAATAGTAAACTCGTATGGCCATGCTCTTTTTCTCTCCAGATGTTTTGTTTGCTCCTTGATTCGAGTGTGACGCCTACAATGGTATTGTCCTCTTTGCAGAAAGAGTTGAAACCATCCATTGCTACTTTCAGCAGCAATGGGAGTTAAATAGGCCCAAACTCAAAATTTCAAGAAAAGAATCCTCTTCCTCTGCAGCAGCTGGTGACAGTGGTGCAGAAAGGACTCAGAAAGATATCTATGATAGAGTTTCGTCAGTTCTTTGGACAACCATTTGCTTTAAATTTTCTGCCTATCAAAGCAAGAAGGATTGTTTATTGGGTCATGTCAATTCACTAGGCATTTGTAAACAGTGAGAAGGAACAGCAAACAATGAGATAGTTTTTTTTATACAAATTTTACAAACAAAAATATACTCTAAATTAATATAATCTACGGGGAGGGGAATTTGAACTTTGGTGCAATGAGGCAGGCTCACTGCCCGGGCTTAACCCGCCTCTCCAGCAAGCAATGAGATATTACATATTCATATACAGAATTCTTATTGCATCATCAATCAAATAAGATATGCACCCTTGGTTTGGCACTGAATTGTTGATGACCAATATGGTTGTGCTGACATCTACATTGTTTGTTGTTTTCTTTGTTTCTTTTGGTTCATTAGGAATAACTTATATTCTTTGGTGTTTGCATGTCATCTCAATTGTGTTAGGTCTTAGACTCTTAGCCGATTCTGAATTTTTGTTCTCTATTGGATTATATGTTGAATTGCATGTCCTTACCATTTTTATATGTTAAACAGTTCATCAATAAGAGATTCTATATATGATGGATGAATTTACAGCCATTTGGATTACAAATGGGGATATATATGACATTCTAAGAGTTCAATTATCTGTCTAAACTATTATAATCTATATATGCCAATATTTAAACAAAAATGAAATAAAGAAAACAGATGGGTTAATTGGCAAAGATCATGCTTGGTCTGATTGTCCACCCCACCACGATGCAAGCATATATAGGCGATATCTCTTGGTTGCTAGTTTATTTTCTAAATGCCCATCTCTTGCATTTTTATCGGAAGGTTACCGCACTGTAATTCCATAAACAAAATCAATATCCACACAAAAATAAAATTACTTACAATAATCATGTAATCTACCCTATGCTCTAATCTCGTATCTTTTGAATTCCAACCCACCGTGCATAATCAACCCACCTGTTCCACAATATAAAGAATCATGAGAATTGTAGAGGAAAACACAACCAACTAACATAATGAGATTAAAGGAGAACTCAGATCTTACATCAAGGACCCCAAGAATGTGTTGCCTGTTCGAACAACAAAGCAAATTGCACTCAGTATAATCTTGTGTTTGTGTAGCAAGGGTTCTAGAATTCGTTGTTCGATTACTCCAGCGAGAACTTGGTACCTTTAAAACAAAAGGTATATCATTATGCACGTTTCCAATAATAACAAAAATAAATTATTATCATTTCCGACTAGCCTCAACTCTTTATGAGCAATGATTAAATAGTAGTGTCATTGCCAAATAAAATAATAAGTCAATGAAATAATCAGGATATCTCTTAGTCCTTCTCTTAAAGATGAGATGCATGTTTCTTTAATCCCCCCTATCCAACCAACATCAATTATCATAGCATTGGTCTTCTTTTTTTTCCCTCAATCAAAAAGCTAAATAATGGTAAACAGAAGATTTCCTTCTTCAAGGTGTCTTCTGCAGATCCTTCCTTTGCTGCAGCACATCTTGTATCCATTGTTAGAATAATGGAAAGCATGTGTCCTTTCACATAAATAACTGTTCTATTTTGAGAGGTTAAAGAGTTTCTTTTTAAGACATGTTTATGGTGGCACGTGTCTTTGCATAGGAATAACTGGTGTATGATTTTTATAAAGGGTTTCTTCTGTCAACATGTTCTGGAGACTATATATGGATTCAAATAGTTAGAAGAGCTTGTTTCTCTTTTCCCCATGTGCTCTTAAGATAAAAAGCTTCTCGATAACTAGAAAGGCCCAGTTCCATCCAGAAATGCCACAAATGGTTTTTTTGGATAGATACTATTCTCCATGGATATGATAGTAACTCTTTAAAATACCAAGTTTCTTCAGTCAGTCTTGAAAAGTTTGTTAATGGTTTATGCTGTCAGTTCATGAAGGTTAGAGTAAATAATAAATAGATTACTTAAATCTGCAGAAAACCTGTGTACCTTAGATTGCTAGAAACTGCCATATAAACTCCATAGGCTACACTGGTTGATAATATGGGAACATCCTCTGCTTCACCAGCAAAAGATTTATCGATAGCTTTTCGTGCATTAATCAATGCATTTGTTACACCCGTACCAACCTAAAAGAAATTGAAAAATTGTAATCAGTCATATGACACCAAACGGCTACTAGCCTACTGAAACTGTCAACCATATAACAAACTGGAACCACATAACATCATGACACATGTATAGCCATTACATGAGTGGGAAGCAGATTTCATATGTGCTTTCTGCAATGAAAAACTTATAACACGAGACAAAAACAATCTAGTAATGTACCAATACTCCCATTTCTTTCACTAAATACATATAACATTGTAGACAGCAATTGAAAATGAAATGTACTTTCAATGGCAATAAAGCACACTAGAGCCTCAGAATTTATTTATAAGACTGGTTGGAGAAGCTTGTGCCTTTGTATATTATTTGGAGAAAAAAATTTACATCTCTATTATTGTTGAATGTTGATACAAAATTCAAATCAGTGGAGCTCTACCAATGGTGTAGTTTCCTTTTGCCACAATGTATAGGTTGAAATTTAGATAAGCCAAGCTCAAACAACCAAAGGTACACTATCATTAAATTAAAAACAGTCGAGGATTATAATGCTCAGTAAAGAATCATTTTGATAGACATATACTACATAAGTATCCTATGTGTTCAATACAATTTGCTATCAGAGTTAGTTTATGTGGCTGAGCAAAAGTTGATGTAGTTTTTCCTGCATAGCATGATGCTTCAGGGCTTTAAATACAATATTCTCATTAATTATATATTTTTTTTATGGCTAAGTAAAAGGACAATCCAGCCTTGCTTATGATGCATGTTGTATAAGTGTTCCAATACAACATGCAGAAGATACTTTAGGGTTAGTATTGGAGACCCTATAATATGACAAGAATATAAAGAACCCAGGCCTGTATAGAATTTTTCATCAATGTTGTAATGGTTGATGCAACGTTAAATTAAAGCGTACATGCTCTATAATATAATGAGTTAGTTACAGAGGGTTAAATAGGTATGGAAAGTATTTGGTTATTGCTGAAAATTTCACTCACCAGAGATGCACCAGTCCCGACTGCAAATAGTTTAGCTCCATTTCTCTGAATATAAGATCAAAATACTATAAACTCCAATGCACGTACCACTAGAGACATGAACATGACTGCTAAACTGTTAGATAGCACATACCACTATTGCACCTATTCTCTGTAAGAGTGAGTAAGATGTTCCAGCCAAAGCTACCTGCAGACAGGAGTGATGACTCACTTGTTATAGTCATATGACAAAGTGGCAACTTAAAAGGCCAAAACTAATGAAGCAAGCACTAACCTGAAAAGCATTATCAGGACACCCATAGAAGAACTTAGCAAGACGCCCTGCACTGACTGTAAGAGGAGGTCGAAGTGAAACAGTAGGAGCAGGAAGCCAAACAAGCATAAAATCGGCTATAATGGCCATCACCTGAGATTTAAAAACAAATATATTAACAGTAAGGCTGCAAAAAGGTGCAACAAATAGAAACCAGAAACCCAACAGATAAAAAAGGCAAAAATAGATAGCATGAAATGGTAAACGGAACACATCAGCTATCATCAAAATTGAGGAAAACTTCCAGTTGTTACAAAGTTGAAGAAGTGCTGCAGATCTTTTGCACTCCAAGCAACACAAAGTTTAACATATATGAAAGCTTATGACTAGAAAAGGAACTTTCCTTTGAGATTAATAAGACTTCTGAAAGTATGGGGGAGTAATCAAATGAGTAAACAAATTTAAATGATGTACATTGCACCACGTCCTACTAGTAAAATGCAATTAAATGATAAGTAATCCCTGCAATTTATAACTCTACTTCAGAAACACAGTTGATATTGTCATTGCAACCCCATTAACAAATTCTAAGTCCAATTTCCAATTGAAGCAAACAATTTAGAGCACAGATAGCAGAAATGCCAACCAAAAATAAATAAAAGGATCATACGAATATAAAAAGACACCTAGAATCAAGTTGCAAGGATGCAAGGAAAGAAAAACACAAGAGTGGAAACTGAGGATCCTACAATCAAGCAACTCCTATTCAAAGGAAAATGACCAAAGACACGAATACCATTTCACAACCCAAAGATAGTTTTCTGCATCCATTCCAATTCACAACCCAAAACTCAACTGAAAGGCAGATTTTCCGAGTTTAACTTATTTAATTTTAATATTTATATCATATGACATATCCCAGATTCCGACAGTGTTTCTTACTGTTACACTGTCGCTCAGCCCAATTATACAAACATCAGTTGTATAAGCTGCTCATCTATGAAGCTGATGAAAATTACTTAGTTTGGAGGCAATAGTTTTCCATTCTGCAGCACAACAAAATCAAAGATCTTATTTATATGAGAGGCGTACCACATCTGCAAAAACAAAATCCAGCTCTTTGGTAAAATTTTCGCGGCGCCGCTCCAACTCTGCAGCAGTCTGAAAAATGAGCAACATTGAAAGAGCTCAGCTTACACCTACCTATACATAGCAGATACTCTGATCTGTATTCGATATTCAAAAGTTAAAAGATATCCGATGCATAACAGAGCCACCATTTCCATTGAGGCGCCAAATAAGAATTGTAGATGCCAAAGTATGGATCAACGGTCAAGATTTCACCTTTTCTATAACTTTATCAGATTAGAAGTTATCAAATTAGAAGCAGCACAGACCTTGGTGAATATTCCAACACCACACTCTATAGCAACCTTAGTCAAGAACAAGTCATCCGCAAGCAACCGCTCCTTAAACCCATCAAACCCAAGCAGCCACCTGAACACCGCCGACTTCTCCAGCTCAAAGAACCTTCTCACAATAGACCCCGGCACACGGCCCGCCTCTATCGCCGCCGCCAAGTCCTTGGGCAGGCTCTCCGACGACCGCCCCGCCTCCGCTATTGCCGCCACGGCCTCCACCTTGTTCCGCTCCCGGTCCTCACCGCCGTCATCACCGTCACCGTTGTCCTGATTGTTATTGTCGTTACCTCCGCCGCCTACCCCGCCGCCAGCAGGGGGCCCACCGCCGTATGCGGCGGATGAGCTGGCGATGAAGGAGAAGCGGGTGAGGCGGGAGGTGGTGAATGAGACGGAGGGAGTTATGG